GCAAAGATTTGTTTTGCATGTTTCTTTTTCCCCATTAGATGTGAAATCAGTAAGATAAAAACTTTGTCAGCTCCCCGACTGTGACATAAGTCAGCCATTTTCTTTCTTTCTTTCTTTCTTTCTTTCTTTCTTTCTTTCTTTCTTTCTTCTTCTTCTTCTTCTTCTTCTTCTTCTTCTTCTTCTTCTTCTTCATGTTTATTTATTTTAAGAGAGAGGGAGAGGCAGACAGAGTCAGAGACAGAAGGAGAGAGAGAATCCCAAGCAGGCTCTGTGCTGTCAGTGGACTGAGCCACCCAGGAGCCCCAAGTTAGTCATTTTCATAGCACATAGTAAGTTCCTCATTTTTGGAAATGGAAGGAAAGAGAGAGAAAAAAAAAAGAAGAGGGAGGGAGGTGGTGGGAAGAGGGAAGAAAGGTTGGAAAAGGAATATGTTTGAGAAACAAATATTTGATTTAGCAAAAGAAAGCCAGTTGTTTCTCTAGCTCATATACAATTGATTTTCTAAGATCGCAAATATTTACAGAACATCTGCTACAGCCAGATATCGTGCCAGGAACTAGGAAATATTTCTATTTTGGGGGGGACCCTAATATTACCTTAATAGTTTAATGAAATAAATATATCATTGAATAGGGTAAACAAAAATAAAACAAAAAAGAGTATTTTGTATGTACAATTATTTTATTCTCAAGTTAATATTCACTTATATTACCAAAACTTTTATATATTTTTTGCCTTTTTAAAGGATATTCATGCTCTTAGATTATAATTTTATTGCAGTATTCTATCTTTCAATTTTGAGTTCAAACTATGAATAATAAAACAATCTGTTTATAATTCCTCAGTTGGTATAATTTTCCTTCATACAGCATGTTAATTACATGTCTTTGAACTTTATTTGTCCCTAAGCTCTGTCATCTCTGTGAAAATGAAGCCAAGTGTATTTAACTGGCATCATTTACTTGTATCAGTGTGTCTCAAATGCATTTTTTTCCCTTTAACTAACATTTACCTTCAGGGATACCTTCATAAATTAAATGCTGCAGTACTTGTGTAAACTATGCTGTATTTCAAAGATAAATTCATTAATAAACTTGTTATTTAACTATTTGAAATGGCTAGTGGAAGATCAAACCTATTAATGCTACATAAACTGTACCAATCTTGAAGACACCTTTCTATGGTGTCTGTGTTTTACCTCTGTTTTTCATGCTCTAAATACCCCACAGAGAACAATAATTTAGTAAAAGTGAAAATCACCTATTAGCTTTTAATTAGTATACACACTCCATATTTCATCATCTTTGGCTACCTAAAATAGACAATAAAGTCTGAAAGGAAAAAAAAAAGAACTGATACAAACCCTATGTTCTCCAAACACATGAAAAAAAATGAGATACTACCTTTCTTTTGCTTCAAGGATTTTAATCTATGACCCCTACATTTTTCTCATCAGATTTTTCACTATTATAAAGATTAAAAAAATAACTAATTATTAAAAGCAGCCTATTTTAGGGTTTGCTTTTGCACTTCCATTGTTTGAGTTAGGAGTTACTCCAAAGTTAATTAAATGTCTTGTATTATGGACCTAGAGATTTAAAAAGAAATGGTCAAAATTGGATATGTGAATATTAAATTATTGAATTTTCTGTTTTAAATAATTATTTAATTTCATTATGTTTCATTATATCTCTCAAATATTTCAACTATTATGGAGATAATTTTTTGTATTTAAATCAAGATGATTACTTCAAGAGTAAAAAAACAATTAAAAACCATGCATAATGGGACAATACAATCTATGGCAAACGTATATACAATTGCATAACTGACAGTTTTAAGGATGACGTAATACTGATTTTTATACTATTGTTACTATCAAGCAAAAAACAGGTATGTGATGCACTTCTGTGTTTGTCATGGAAAATATTGTACATACATATGTCTATATATAAGTCTCAAGGCAAATAAAATCTCAATGTAGTACATACAACAGTATTCTGTTGTTAATCTTTTAGGCTGTATTTATTATGACTGTTATGTGTTTAAGTAATTTATTATACAATATTTTGGGGGGCAAGTAAATGCATTATAATAATAATTTTATTTGAATACTAAACTGTTAGCTTAATTTCTAATGTTTTAATGATTCTGTAGATAATTTATTTTGAAGAGTTTTTTTCACTTAATATATGCTAAAAATTATCATAATACATAAGGGTTAAAGTCAAATATTAATTTTGTTATGCTGCTGAATATTCATTTCAAAATTGTAACTGATGGCCACATAACTGATTATAGTGTGTGACAGACAGTAGATAATACATAAGTACATATCTAATTTTATGAAGTCCTACAAATTGCTTATAAACAGTGACATTAAAGTATTAAATAAATATCAGCATCTTCATATTTATTTATGAATTTTACAATAAAAGTTAAATAAACACAGAGCAATTACTATTCTAATGATAAGCTTTCCAGCAAACTATCTTAAACATACAAGAAAATAACAATATCCTTGCAATTTAACAATACAATAGTATTCTTAAAACCTAGAGATCATTACATGTAAAAATTTAAACAATAAAGCTTTTATAGAAACCATAGAAAAATTACTTAGTGTGGCAAAGCAAATATTTCTTTTTTAAAAACATTTATGAAGTAGGACAATAGTCAGACAAGAAACAAACCTACTTGAGAATTTCTATTCATCAAAATACACCACTAGGAGAGTACAAAGAAAAACCACCAAATGGTTTAATATACAATATAAATATCCAGTGGTATGCAGTAAATGTTTAACAACCAACTCCCCCGAAGAAAAAATAAAGCCCTGTTTTTCATGTTTGCCAGTGTGTGTGGTATAAATAAACTCTTCTACCATGGAAGATTTTCAAACTATCAAGCAGCTCCCAAAATTCCTGACACTTTAACAGTTGGTCTTGTGAATCAGTTTGAGCCAGCTCTATCACAGAGGATTGAAACAGCTTATCTGGTATATGGTTAAGGAAAAAGGATGCACGGTATGGTATAAAAAGGGCAAGTCTTAGACACTTCAAAAAGGAGAATAGTCATATGACAGTCATCACAAATATGACAAATAATCATAAGACGTGTTTGATGCCATAAACCTTCAACATATTCAAATTAAAATATTTCTATAAGCACACTAGAATGGCTAAAATAGATGGATGCAAAATCCTGTTAGTGAGTATATGAAGCAACTCACTCTCACATCTTGCTTTGAAAATCCCGTATTACCACTTCGGCAGACTATCAGTATCTACTAAAGCAGAACATATGTGTATCCTATATATCCAACAAAATTCATGCATGCATTTCCTGCAGCACATCTTCCAGATAGACATATAACCACTATTCATAAGAACCAAAGTCTGGAAATGACCCAAATGCTCATCAATGGGATGTAGATCATAATTTGGTACATGAGCAAGTTGAATACCAAACAGCAATGAAAATGAGTGTTTTATCACTGCATATAATCTTACAAATATAATGCTGAGAAAAAGAACCAAAGTAGTAACTACTGTATGACTTCATTAATAGAATGTAAAATAGGAAGTAATCTATCCTTCTAGAGGTCAATACAGTGCTTATGTTTCATGCAAATACTTACGAGAAGTGCACTATGTAGTGGACTTCAAAGTACGATAATGTTTTATCTTTTATTCTTTATTTTTCTTTTCTTTTTAATGTAAGAGCTGATTATAAGGGTGGGTTCATTTTGTTACAATTCACCAAGACTGTGCATTTAAGATATGAGATGATAAATGATGAGTGTACATTTTTAAAATATTTTGACATATTTTATAAGTCAAATTGACTTATGAGAAAAGTTAATTTGGATATATTTGTAAAATATGTTATAACTTAACAATATATATCAGGAATAAAATTATTGCTTTATGCATATCCAAATAATGTATTTCACAAAAATGTCTTCTATTATCAACAGAGTCCATTGATACAGAGTCCTGTATCAACAGAGTAGAGCAGTGAAATTCCCCTTGCTTCTATGTGACACTTGTCTTTAATAATCATATGTTGAGTGTCTCAAAAAAAAAAAAAATGTAACCAAAGCATACACCTTACATAGCCCAGAGCTGATCATTGCCTATAATCACTTAAAACTTCTTCAAGATACATTTCAGTAGTGCTGTATTACCAAATCAACAAGTTTTACTCAATCACTTTGTTTCCCAAGACATCATTTACCCGAACATATAAAATATATGACACAAATGCCCATATTATCCCCATTTTATGTATCAGCTACAAGCGGATAAATCTTCATCATGTTCACAATTAAAAAAAGAGATAAACTGAACATTCTTTTATTAAACTTATGTTTATGTTTCTTACATTCTGTAGTAATCAATTATAAATGGCATCCAGATTTACATTTTTAACAAATGTTATTGAATACAATTAACCAAAGTAACTGACAAATTAATAAGGCCCATAAAATCACCTTAGAAGTCACGGGTTATTTTTTTATCATATCTATTTCTATAGTTACATATTTTACTTTCAACTTTATAAAGCTGCAATATCAAGCTTTCCTAGAGGAACCCAATTTTGATAAATCTTGACAGGTGTTAAAATAAGTTTTCCTTTCAATAACTCATTGCCTCTATTCATTGACATCAAATAGACGTTATTATAAAAAATTTTAATATATAAAATTGTCATTCATGTCCAAAGAACTTTTTTCAGAGTTATAAATCTTACCTTTCTGAACAATGCCTTCAAATTCACTTAGAACTTATCAAAGACTATTTCAGGTGACTATATTACTATAATCTAACCAAGAACATAAACATTTGATAGAAAGTATCACATATCAACATTTATGTAAAGGTATCATAAAGTATCAAGGAAACTCTGCAAATTAGCTCTGTTTTTACTGGATACCATCAAATAGGGATAATAAAGGGAAAAAAACTCAAAAATGAATTTATTAATTATAATCTTACCATAAGCTCACAGGTTAGGAATTCAGAGAAGAGGTTCACCACCCTGAGACCTAGAAAAGTATAACCAAAAATATTTCCATCAGCACTGGCACTGCATTTTAATTCAAGCATCACAAAATGTTAAATAGTGATTTATATTATGAAAAATTTCATTGTATGATTAATTAGTATACATATAATTTAACAAATAATTTTGACTACAATATTCGTCTGAAATAGCATTATCATTACTCAGGTCACATCAAACTATTGTGATTTAAGATTAATTACTCTAATTTGAGCTCCTTAATGCAGAATGACAAACAAGTAGAGGATTTTTATTGTCTCCTTTGCTTCTTATGGGACTATGGGTGATGGGCACATCTGCAAGCAAAATTTATTTTGCATATGTTACAGAACCTTAGTTACATTCATTTATACAGCTTCATATATATATATATATATATATATATATATATACACACACACACACCCATATACACATACACACACTATGCATGTGGGCCACACACACACACATTTACAAATGTAGTTATCATACTACAAACCTACATTTATCTTTGTTTTTTCTGTTTAAATCAGGGATAATATATAACTTTCCATGATTATAAATATTCTCTAATATTTGTAATTATATATTACATTATTATAATATATTATATATATAATATATATATAATCCTAATTTAAAAGCTGTATGGTACTCAATAGTTTATTATATACCTTAAATTATTTGATATTTGATTTAACAATAACACTTTATAATATCAATTATTATTATCTAAATTGAGTCATTTAGTTACCATCACATGTAACAATGTTTAAAAGTTAATGTGCTTGGCAAGAGCTTTAATATTTTGATGCAGTGCTGACTTACTAATTAACACATATTTATTAAGCCCTTGGATTTGTTTACTTCTAGGCAGATTCTGCTCTAAATGGATAAAAGAATACACTGAAGATTCAATCTTGCTATACGTGAAGAAATTAGTAGCATTTATGAACCTTTTAGAAAACTGAATGACTGGTATATAGGCAGGTGCTCTACTGTGTGATGTATCACAATTTAAGTTAATAGAAGAGAGAAACCATAACAGATCGAATCTAGTAGTCAATGTCTTAATGAGTAGTGTTGTTTTTAAGGATAGGTTTTTCTCAAAGTTCTATGCGTTGAATTATTCCAACCATTTTCTACTGCAACTGAAGGGAACATAATATAACATAGTTTGTCTCACAAAGGAATGATATTTAACTCTTAGGAGGAATTATAACATGCAGAAATGATTCTGATACTAAAAGAACCACTTGATGACTGAAATGAAATGTTTCCAGTATCCTTCTGATGAAATGTTAGCGGAAATCAAAATATCACTATCACTGAGGTGTGAACATTCACATTAAAATGTATTATTCTTATTCTGCAAATTGAAATGTATGTGTGCAGTAAAATCTTTAATAATGACTTCTCAGGCTTTCTTGGTCAAAGTCACTGAACTGGGCGCCTGGGTGGTTCAGTCGGTTAAGCATCTGGCTTCGGCTCAGGTCATGATCCCATGGTTCATAGGTTCAAGCCTTGCGTGGGGCTCTGTGCTGACAGCTGAGAGCCTGGAGCTCTCTCTCTCTCTCTGCCCCTCCCCTGATCACTCACTCTCTCTCTCTCACTCTCTCTCTCTCAAAAATAAATACACATTAAAAAAATTAAAAAAAAATCCAAAGTCACTGAACTAACTGGTGGCAAGGACTTAACTGCATTCTGAATCTTTGATTCTCAGTCCATTGTATTCCATTCCAGAGTTTGCCATTATCCCAGGTCTCCTTGTTCGCAAGTGGGTAGACACTGCTTCCCAGCCTTCCACAGGTTTCTGTCCCACCCACTCCTTTTACAAATTCCAGTGCACATGGATTAACCATGTGAACATGCTATTCATTCTCTATTGCATTCTGCTTTTATTTTCCCTGCAGGAACAAGGAGTGAGAAGAGGACTTCAAAAGGTCTACTTCTGGGAGCACCTGGATGTCTCAGTCAAACAGCTGATTCTTGATTTTGGCTCAAGTCATGGTCTCAGGGTCATGAGACTGAGCCCCACATCAGGCTATGAGCTGAGTGTCAAATCTGCTTGGGATTCTGTCTCACCCTCTCTCTCAAAATAAATAAATAAACATAAAAAAAAAAAAGATTTGCTTTCTACTGATACTTGCTAAAGAGGAAGACTTTCCCAAGAACATATTGTGCTCTGAATGCTTATACTTCAAGTCAATCAAGGAATTATATTGACACCTTCCCCTCTGCTCCCCATTTTTATCAAGAGGTGCATCAAATTCAATTGGGGGTAAATGTAAAACGGTTACGTGTTAGAATCCACATGTGGCTGAAGCAAAGTATTACCATTGTGAAATGAATGCTTTGGATACATATATTAAAATTTTTAATTGTTATTACCATTTTATTATTAAATATTTAAAGTCAAGCTTTAAGGTTTCACATTATAATGCAGGAACAATAATTTCCTGTAGCACTATCAGATGCTAGATTACTCCTGCAGGCACTATGTTGCATATCTGCAATATTAAATTGACAGTTTTAACTGAATAATAGAATTTCAACATAAAAAGCACATAAGGGAATTTATATCTTCCAGTTATATGTAGAATGTTTATCTATATCTGAATGTGAATATTTAGATAATAACAGTAAATCCAAAGGACATCCTTGTTTGGAGTATGGACATTGTTATACTGAGTAGATATGTTAGGCATTCAGACTATATGTCACTACCCATGTGTAAATTCAGGAAATCGAGAAATTATGTTGAACACATTTGGCTAGTTTTTCTTCAAAGCCAAAGCCGAGCCAGAGAAGTGATTTTAGACACATAAGAAAGCCAAAGCAGAAATATGGTTTACCCAAACTTTATTCTATTTTTACAATGATTTACATCGCCTGACTCAGTCAAGAATACTGAGTATTGAGACATAATTAAAGAAAATAAATGAGAGAGAAAATAAATTTTAACAATATGTGGATAAGATAACTATTTTTTAGGGAACAGTTTGTAATGATGGATCAGTAATTAAACTATCAGTGACATTGGCACAATGTTAGAGTTTTATCATTGATGCATTTCAGGAAATTTTACTTTAGAGATAAGATTCTAGTAAATAGACTTGATCAGATATACTCCTTTCATTTCTACTACTTGCCCATGTAAGGATAACCATCCAGAAAGAATTTATGCCAAGTGAAGTAAGCAGACCAAAGCAAAATTGCACTTTTGGTAATTCTGAAATTCTAATATCTTAAACCTATCATATGCCTACATAGCTGTCAAAGTACTGCAGAAATCTTGAAAAGTTACATTTGAATTAATATTTCTATAAATTAATTAATGTTATTAGTGAATGCATTTATCAGATATGTGACTCAGAGTTTGAAGAAATTCATGGATCAGCATTTCAGATGGTGGTTTTCTCTGATGCTAAAAATAATTAGACAGTGTTCTCTTTTCCTGGCTTGTTCACAGGAATTCAATAGTTTGGAAGGAGTGAGAGGAAGCTGAATTTTAAAATGATCTGGAAACCTAAATGTTGTGAAATTATTTTAAATAATTATAAACAATTTTAAATAATAGTAAATAAATTTAAATATTGGTTTGATAAGTTTAGGAAAATCATAGTTAATAAGCAATTGGTAAATAGTACAGTGATAAGATTTCTACACTTTTTGTCATGTATCCTACATTGATACTCATACAAGTCTCTTGTATTAGAGATTATTTTCCATATTTTCAGATAAGAGATTGGAAGCTAACAGTTGCTAAATAAACTCCAAAATGTCTTACTGCTAATATATTGTGAAGTCAAAATTCAACCCAACCTTAATTAAGTTCAGAATCCCAATTAGTTCATATATCAGGGTAGGATAATATTAATAGATCTATTTACTGAATATATAGCATATGCCAAGCACTGGTCTTAGTATTTTGTATGAATTAACTAATTTAATTCTTACAAGTGAATCTCTACTTTCTAAATGAACTGAGCTGTCCTTTATTACCCTTTTCTTCTTCTTTTTTTTTTTTTTTTCTCCTAAACAAAGAGATCCTGGCTTCAGAGACTGTGCTATGAATCATTACATAGTAGTCTCTACATGATAATTGATCATTTTGCAGTATTCTTACAAATGGAATTTCAATGCACATGTTTACATTTTTTCAAGTTTGGCATCACGCACATGTAATTACACATTTAATATGTGTCTACCATCACCTTGGTTGTTGGTCCTAGGTAGTAATAATAGTATTTATTGAATATATACTGTGTCAAGAATTATGCTAAGTGCTATAAGTTCATCTCATTTAATTCCTATAGCAGTCCTAACAAGTATTACAGTCACCCTAATCTCATAGATGAGAAAATTACCAGAAAACTTAATAAATGTGCTCAAGAGCACACAGAGTAAGAAAAAAGCACAGCTGAGTTTCAAACACAAACTCTCTCATATGATGCAACATAGAGATTCTGATTCTTCTAATGGGAGAGAGTTGTGAAAGAAATTAGAGGCTCTCCTTTTAGTTCATTTAGAGAGAAACTTAAAACTTCAACTTCTTAAAGTAGAGCTATGACTACACCCTAATTAAAAAAAAACACAAGAATAGCAAATAGTCTTATAACACCATTATATTATGATTAATTGTAGGTAGTTACAGCCCCTCAGTCTCTAGCTCATTAAATGTTAAACTGAAATGATGCATTATTTAGCAGACATGCCGATTTCTAGAATTTTCTGCCAATAAATTCAAGAATGCATGAGATTTTACAAAATATGTAAATTTCATGTAATATATGCACAATTTTGGTAGGGGTTATCAGCAATGCTTACTTGGAAAACCAGATAGCCTTGTATTCATTTAGAAAAATGCAAATAATGTGTAAAAAAACAACTTTGAACTCTCACTTCTTTTAAGACTGCCAAGCTTATCATCTCAGAAACACAACTCTTATTATAATTATAGGCAACATGTTTGGGAAAAAAATTGGCTGTTTCAGTGAA